CGCGTATGGGTTCGAGCGGCCCGAAGACTTCGACTACGCCGCCCACGAAGAGTTCCTCTCCGCCTACCTGGCGGTGCTCACCAGGAGAGCCCTGAAGTGGTCCCGGCTGCTGCAGGGGGACAGCGGCCTAAGCAGGACCTCGACAGGTGAGTGAGGCGGCCCACGCCCCCACCCGGGACCCGACACCCCTCGGGGACCCGACCGCACCCGGGACCGCCAAGGCCCTCCCCTGGTGGCAGACACCGCGCGCGACCCCTGGGCAGCCGGAGCCCCTCTCACCCTGCCCCCCAGAACGGTGAGGTGGAGACCCACAGGGTCCTTAGGCGGTGCCTCAGGAGAGTCTTCAGGGACCCACCCAGCCACCTTCCTGCCTGGCCGGCCCTTCCCAGAGAGCGGGCAAAGTCCAGCCCGCTTTGGGAGCAGCGGCGGAGCACGTGGGACCCTCCCAAACTGCCTACACCGGGGCTGGGGACCAACGCATCCCCCACCTTGTGGGGCGGGGCTCCTGCCTCCAGGAAACTGAACCAGCCTGTCCCAGCTCATTGCTCCAAGGCTGAGCTGGACGGGTCTTAGTTCCAGTCGTGTGTTTCTGTGACTAGAACCCAAGACCCCGCCCTGCCTGCAGGAATTTTGCTTCCTTGCTGCTTGCTCCTGGGTACTGGAGCCCACCCTGGGCAGCATTACCAGCTGTGCCCTGGTGAGGGCGCCAGTGACCCAGATCGGACCTGTGTGGCCAGGGTGAGGGTGGGCTGTTGGCGACTCCTGTGAAGAGCAGCACCAGCGTGGTGTCCCTGTAGATTGTAGCAGTGTTGGGGAAACCTCCCGAGGCCAACGAGCGCATCCGTGGAACTTGCTGTGTGCTGCGAGGTGGGTGGCCCAGCCAGCTGTACCCTGTGGGGCTCCCTGCGTGGCTCACCTGTTGCTGCTGGGGGTGGGAGGCAACCCCTGGCTGTGCTCAGCACTGGCCACACAGCATCAAGTAGGCTGGCAGAGACAGGAACAAGGGACCTCGACAGCCCTGTAAGGCCGTCACACCACTGACGTCCATCCATGCTGCCTCTGTATTAACGCTCCAACGGGCATCTACTTTCGTTTTTCCTTTTGAATGTATTCTTAAAACTTGATTGGCCCTCTAACTTTGGAGTTATATAAAATACAACTTATGAATGTGAAGAACATTTTAATCACACTAAAGGCTGCGAGTGAGGTCGTTTCCAACCCCAGGCCCCAGGCCCTGTAGAGATCACATGCAGCTGTGTGCTCACAATAGATGCACCTGTGTCTGTGCAGGTGACTTCAGAGCAGGAGGCAGTTTCTGTGGCCATGACTGTGGTTGACACTAGACTTGGCCAAGAGGTCAGTTGGAGCAGAGTCCCTGAGGTTGCATGCTTGTGTTCCTGAATACCTTCCATGTACCTTCTGTTCTTGCACAAAACACATAGGCACGCTTCTGCCTGGTTTGGTCCTTTTCTTAGAGCGGGGTGGGTTTGCACCCCTTATGAAAGCCACACTGGGGGAGGGGTGTGAGGGTGGTAATCAAAAGCATCGGGGAGGATCCCCAATGTAGACTCCTAGATTGTCCCCCGCCTTTGCAGTTATTTTACATCTTGTTCAGTGTTTTTTGTTTTGTCCTGCTTTGCGTTTTTCTTTGAGAACTTGTCCCAACCTTTCTAAAAATTTAACTTGGTTTTATTAAAGTAGCAACCACCTGTCTTAGTATTTCTTTGAGGATGTGATGTTAGTTGGGCTGTAACTGTGGTAACAAGTGCAGCTGGCCTGAGCAGGCTGGGGGAAATTGTGTGTGATCCCTGGTGAGTCTCAGCCTAAGGGGTGGCAGTCTGCTGTTCTACAGGAAGTGGGGAGTTGGTTGGTCTAGTGGAAGGAGTGGGGTCCTACGACCTTGGTGTCCTGCTGGTGAGGGCATGTTTTCTGGGGGTGTTATCTCGGGGCCCTGTATTGGCAAAGCCCAGGGTGGATTATCAGATACGAGACAGGAGCAGACCATCTACTGCATTCAGAAATGGGAGCCCAGTCCCCAGGGAAAGGTGCAGACAGTGGTGGCTGAGAGCTGAGGCCCACACCCTCGGCACCGCACTCTGACCCTGACTAGAGCCTTATCTCGCTCTGAGTCTGATTGGGTGTTTTCTTTCTTTATCTGGAGGATTTTCACCTATCTTGATGTCGGGTAGCACAGTCCTCTGCAAGCCCTGGCATTCAGGATCTTTACCACACTAGCTCTCCCTGGCAGGGCCAGTGAATGGATCCTGCTGGAGCCCTGGAGCAGGCAGCATGCTTCTCCCGCAACCCAGAGAGACTAAAGCCAGCCCCCTTGGTCCTGCTTTTCCATTTCATTTCCTGCCTGCTGTGGTGGGGTCCCTTCATCGGTAGGCATTTGGGAGCCAACCTAAACATTCGCTTGCAAGTTTCTCTTAGGTACACTTCGGACTCGGGTTGCTGGGCCTTATCAAATGGTTTGTAAGAAATTGCATTGCCTCACGTGCTCAAGGAAGGCCCGGGGCTGGATCCCCAGCACCTCTGAACAGAAACAAAGCCTCTCTAAAGTGACTGGACAAATTTGTGCTCCCACCAGAGATGTGTGCATGCTCAGTGGCTGTTCACTCCTGCTACCGCTTTATGCTATTGGTATTTTTACTTAAGGCATTCTTTTACTGGTCAACTACTATTCTTTCTGCATTGGATTTCCTGTGTAACTTTGTGAAAAAACAGTTGAATTTTTTGTACGAGTTTGCCTCTGGATTCTTTTCCATGATATACTCATTGCTTTAATGTCCTTTAACATTTCACCAGTACCAGGTTTTTATTACAGTAGGGCTGATTTATACCATTTCTTTTCTATCTTTCAGTGTTGCTCTGATACAATTTGAACATTTTTGATGTGTGTGTCCTATTCCTTTTGGCTGTGGTCCCTGTCAGGTAGAGCAGCCCCTGTCCATGATTGGATTAACCCTCCTCTTGCTGTTCTGCAGAAAAGGACTGGCTGTGTTGTCGTGGAAGGCTGCTTTGTCCTGGGCAGAGGGAGGGAGGGTGGCTTTCTGGATTAGTAGCACCTGTGCTGGAACTGTAAGGCTGAGACCACACTCACACCCTCCAGGTCATGACACAGAGCAGTGAGGTGAAGGGCGCCGTGGGGGTCTCCAGTGTTTCTCCAAAGCTGCAGAGGTTTCTGGGCTCTTTGTAGCTTTCAGAGGGAGGTGCTGGCTCTGTGTCACATGGTGAGTCTCACCTGGGAAAGACCCTCGCCTCAGGGCCAGGAAGCACAGAGAGAGGACAGGGTAGGGGGTCCCTGACTAGAGTAGCAACCCCTCAGTGGAGACTCCCCTGTTCCAGACCCCTACCTGGCAGCTGGTCCAAGGGGCTAGACCTTCAGCCACAGGCCTTGGGGACTTTTAACATCCAAATTTCAGAGTTTCCTATAGTGCAGCTATAGTCAATAATGGTATTTATGATGAAATCCCCAGAGGAAACGATGGCTTTGGATATTGGCTTTGAAAATTAGCTGTTCTGCTGGCCACAGTCACGAGGGCACAGGATGCCCCCAAGTAACCCCTGTGAGTGTTGTGTGGAGCCTCGTGGATTCAAGCAGGCAGCTCTGGGGTTTGGCGTGGTCCTGTTTCTGTGGTCATAGGTCATTGCTCGTCACTTTCTCCCATGCACATTGTGCATTGAGCATGCACGTTGTGCGGGACAGGGATCCCTGCAACAGAGTCCCCCTGATTCACGCCGCCTGCCCCTCACCCTGGCCGCCTGCTGGATCTTCTCCCTCAGACCGCACGGCTGGCATCCCAACGCCCGCCCCACTGTGCCCACCTAGGCTGGGCCACAGTTTCTGCGCCCAGCCCGCCAGCCCACAGAACAGCTCCTCCTGCTGTTTTTCCCAGTGTTGGATGTCACCAGGGCCTTGTGCACGCTGGCATGGCTCTGCCACCTGTCCGCACTGCGGGCCCCTCTCGGCAGGCAATATGTCTCCCCTGGCCCACCGGGTGTGAAGCTCAGTGCTTCTCAGGTGGAGCTGGGCAAGCCGGTGCCCATGCAGAGAGGGTCGGGGTGCTGACCACAGTGCGTAGCTCACCGTGCTCTCCGGTTGGTTTCAGTGAAGCGCTATGTCCGGAAAGGGGTCCCGCTGGAGCACCGGGCCCGCGTGTGGCTGGCCGTGAGCGGAGCGCAGGCCCAGATGGAGCAGAACCCTGGCTACTACCAGCAGCTGCTTCAGGGAGAAGGAAAGCCCGAGCTGGAGGAAGCCATCAGGACAGGTGGGCTGCCTGAGGCAGATGGGGGGGCACAGCATTGGGAATCCATCCATGTCTGCAGGCAACCCGGGAGGGAAGCTGAGGCAGGAGAACGGCAAGTTTGAACCTAGCTTGGACAGCTGAGCAGTACTCTATCTCCACATAAAAGCGATAAAACATTTAAAAAAAGGCTGGGGATGTAGTTTAGTCCCAAGGCCCTGCATTCCAGCCTCAGTGCTCAAAGTGCTGTAGCCAGTTTCGCCTCCGCTGAGCCATGTGTCCTCCCTTTGTCCCCGGTGGATGCTCGCGGCTCCACGTACCTTGGCAGCCCTGCTGTGAGGTGGCGTGTGGGTGACCTCTGGCCACGTAGGACTCCACAGGGTGTCCAGGGAGAGCAAGTGTCTCATGCCCATGGCGCCCAGCCCACGTCCCACAGGAGCTGTGCGGGTGTTGGCGCCTCTTGGGTCAGGGCCAGCCGCCCGTGTGGTCTGCCCTTCCCAACCTGGCCCGGGGCTGTGCTGAGCAGGAAGGCAGGGCTCTCCTTGCACAGAGGGGTGGTTTGCTTCCTGCTCAGTGCTGTCCCCAGGGGCCGATGCTGCCCCTCTTGTCTGTGGCCTCAGCAGCTGGAAACATCCCGGGTTTTGGGCACGTTTTCCACAGTCATCCTGGGTCTGGCTGGTGGGGCTGCTCTTCCACCCCACCTCCAAAGGAGAGGGCTGTGGGGACCCTCGGCTCCTGTCCTCTCTCCTTCTGACCTAGCAGCCCCTGGCCTGGGCCATGTGAAGGCTCAGGGCCAAGTTGAGCAAAGGTCAGCTGGACCTTTCTTGGGACAGTTCAAGAGGGCAGGGCTGGGGGTGCTGCTCAGTGGGGAGCACTTGCATAGAATGCACAAGGTCCTGGATTCCATCCCCAGCACCACAAGCAATAAAGTAAAAAAGTTATTTTTGTTGGGTATTGTGGTTGCATACGTATAACCTTAGCACTCAGGAGGCTGAGGCAGGAGGATCACTATGAGTTCAAGGCCATCCTGGGCTACATAGCAAGACCCTACCTCAAAACAAAATAAAGAAAAGAGGGCGGACAAGTGGGTCACAGAGTCCAGATGGTGACGTCTGGTGAATTTCTGCACAGACCTGAACCGCACCTTCCCGGACAACGTGAGGTTCCGAAAGACGGCGCAGCCCTGCTTGCAGAAGGCCCTGTACAATGTGCTACTGGCCTACGGCCTCCACAACCCAGGTGTGGGCTACTGCCAGGTGAGGCCGGCTGGGGCTTGGGCACTGTGTGCATGGGGCGGGAGGCATGCTTGGCACCACACGTGCTCGTGCGGGGCACCCTCAGGACTCAGCCCTCTGCTGGGCCACACTGTCCAAGACTCTGGGATGCCTGGCGTGGGTGGCCGAGAGGAGGCTGCAGACCAGGAGCAGGTGGGCACTGTCACTCAGGTGTTCTCAGGACTCAGACTGCCATGCCGCCCTGTGGGCCGAAGGCCCCACCCCAGGCTCAGTCTTGTGGGTGGAAATTGACGTGGTACCAGCAGGCACGTGGGGCGTGTATGAGGGCCACTGAGGCCTGACCAGAGGAAGGAAGAGCACAGCAAGGCATTGGCAGAGGGGCCAGGGGTCCCAGAGGCTCAGCCAGACCCATCGTGGACGCCTCTGGCCCTGCTGGTGTGCAGATGGCACGAGGACAGGCACGGGTGTCTTAGCCACATGGCTGCGTCTGCTCAGGAACAAGAACATGGCTTTTAGGAGAGGAGACGAAATTTAGGGAATTTTAGAGCTTCATCCTTTCTATTCTTTGAGGTCTTAAAAATAGCACGGTCTTTACTTTCTTAGTTTAAAACTTATCAGTATGTATTTGTGATGCCTCATGAATGTATCCCTTGTGGGGATCTGGCCCATGTCCGTCTGGCGTCTTGATCCTTTTTACTTCTTCTCCTTGTCTTCTTGCCTTCCACACACAATTTTATTAGTTTTTACTCATTTATTTTTGAGACAGGGTCTCACTCTGTAGTCCAGGCTGGCCTTGAACTCATGGTGAATCTCATGCCTCATTCAGCCTGAGTGCTGGGATTACAGGAATGCACCACATACCTGGCGCACAATTCTAAGTATCAGTGTCCACCAGAGCTCACCTGTCTGGAATACGTGCACTGTCGGGCATGCACACACGTACATGGGGCTTCTGGGATACATGCGCGCGCGCACGCGCACACAGGGCTGCTGTGGTGAGTGGCTCAGGCAGCAGGACTCCGCTGAGACCCAGGAGGGTGGCTCTCTCTTGGCCCCTCCATGGCCCCTGTGGCTGTCACTGTCTGTATCACTCCCAGCTCGTCAGTGCACTGCCCTGCCTCTGCCACCATGTCCACGTGGGGTACTTCCTGCTAGGTGTTCATGCCCACCTCCTCTTTCCTCAACCCGATCTTCCTGGATTAGGGCATCTTCCCTGCACTGTGCCATGGAGAGCAGGTGTGGCCTTGGGTCCCTCGATGACTGCATGTGCCCCATGTCCCTGCCCCCAGAGCCCACCCTGGCCCAGCCCCACCAGCCTGTTCCCGAGTCATGTTTGCAGGGTCTGCTTCTGGGGTGGTACAGGTGGGTGGGCACGACAGTGGGCACAGGTATAGTGTGGTCCTGACCATCCTGCCATGCTCCTGGGCACGCTGACATCTTTGGCATGGTGCCAGTGTCCTCTCCTGCAACGTCACCATCTGCCCCACCTTCATGGTTGGCAGAAGCTGGATTCCCTTATTGCTAGAGAAACACACATCTGTCACAGACATGTGGATGCACAAGAGAGCAGAGCAGTGCAAAAGTCAGGCACTGGAGCGGCAGCAGCAAGCCGCCTGCTGGCTGTGTCTCCCGACTCTGCGGTTGGCTTCTGCCTTTGGGAAGTGTGCCCTGGCATTTCCCGAAAGGGTCTCAGTCACCACCACCCCAGCACCCCACTGTGACACCAGGACCCTTGTATTTTACAAATGTGGTCCCTGCTATCCTCATGGCTTGGGAAGAGTGGTAGTTGTAGCACCTTGGTACAAGGTGGTCTTTGATTTCCTATTCCTGGTGGCACTTGGGGCTTGAGGGGTTTGCTTTTTCCTCTTAATTGATTAATTAGTTAATTTTTGAGACAGGGTCTTGCTGTGCAATTCAGGCTTGTCTTGAACTCACTATGTAGTCCACACTAACCTTGAACTCACAGGGATCCTCCTGCCTCAGCCTGTTGAACGCAGATGTGCACCACCACGGTCAGCACCCACTCACTCCTCCTCTTACCTGGGTCGTATAGACGTGGCAGGTCATGGCCGACCCTGTGTCTCTGAAGAGTGTGTGGGACTCATGAGTTTGGGGAAGCCCAGCATGGCAGCAAGTGGTTGCCAAATTCCTGTCTCACTGCTGGCGGTTTGTGCACGATTGTCCCACTGAGCAGCTTTTCTTAATTTTCATAGTAAAAAGACGGAGAGAAGTGAGACCCATTTGCACCACGAGGACTCCAAGGCGCCCCACGGGGCAGTGACATACAGACTGCCGGTGGTCGAGCCGGCCAGAGCAGGGTAAAACTCAGTGTGAGTTTAGTTCTCATTTTTCTGATTTCAGGGAATGAATTTCGTAGCGGGATATCTCATTCTTATCACAAAGAATGAAGAAGAATCTTTTTGGCTCTTAGATGCTCTTATTGGACGGATCCTGCCCGGTAAGTTGACCCAGCGCTTGCACCTTCCCCAACCTGTTTCAGTTTCGGAGGTGCTGGCTGCCCAGGCAGGACAGAGTGGAAACACAGTGGCCGTGTGTGGGAGCTGAGGTCCAGATCTTCCTCCGCTTAGTTAAGAGGAGCACACATCCTGGTGGGCGGCCATCATCTCTGGATGCCGCTGGGTTTCCGCGGCCTCTACCCAGGTTGTGGGTTTACCTGTCTGTCCCACTGGCCCTTTGCCCACCCATGGGGCTGTGGCCCGGGAAGGACCCCTCTTGCAGTCTGTGTTGGTCCCACGTCGCCTGAGGGGCTCACACGGCTTCTTGGAAGTTTGTTCCCGGATTCATTCAGCACCGTCATCGCTGCTTGCTACTGCTTTTCGGAATGAAAGTCTCTGCGTCTTTCCCCTTTCCTGGTTCCTAATAAGAACGGCCACCAGTACTAGAAAGTGCAGTGTAGGTGGGGACTGCAGCGTAAGTGTGGACTGTGGCGTGGGTGTGGACTGAGGGGTGGACGGGACTGCGGTGCAGTCCCCCTGCGTGTAAAAGCCCAGAGCCTCCCTTCCCACCTGGCCACAGTGTTGAGGAAAGCGGCTGGCAGTGGACACATGGGGTGCGACCTGGTTCTTTTGCCCTGTGTTCTCACTCCATCCCCACCAGTGCTGTACAGACACAACATGGAACTGTCTCACGGGCAGAGTAGGGCTTAGTTAGCTCGGTCACTGCTGGCTGTGCCAGCCCTACAGCTCTGACTGCTGAGACACGAGCTAGAGGCAGAAGTTTTGTGTTGCTGGCTGCCATCATCAGCCCACACTGTACTGTCTTGAGGACACGGAGCCCAGATGCAGAGCCTGGGGGCCAGCGGCACACCCATCACGGAAGCTTAGGCGTGACGGCCAGGACGGAAGGCTGGCGACACCAGCAAGACATCAGCAGAGCCTGTGACGGGTTCACTGCTCCTGTTACGGCTGCCTCCTGAATCGCTGTGGACATCAGTTCCGTGGCCAAGCTCTGCCCATTGAGTTGCCATGCTCCTAGTTCTGTCTGTGCCTCGGAAGCACAACGTGGCACTAAAAACCCTGTACCCGCACAGTCTGTGTGGAAGACAGGCACAGTGGTGCCACCCAGAGCACGCAGCAGAGTGTGGGTTAGGAAGGCGAGAAGGGCCAGCATGTCATTCCACATTAGCTGCGAGATTCAGTGGAACCAAGTTGCAGTTCTACAGGTCTCAATTTAAAAGCAAAAGAAAATATCAACAATAAAGCACAAGAGTGCACAGCTGTAATCCCAGCCACTCAGGAGGCTGAGGCAGGAGGATCTCAGAGGCCAGACTGGGAACTCAGTTAAGAGTCTGTCTAGAGAAAGGCCTGAGGGTATAGCTCAGCGCTTGCTTAGTGTGGGCAAGGCCCTGGGTTTTACTTACAGCACCACATAAAACATGTTAATAAATCTTGCAGAAAACAGAGGTAAATGGCTGGTCAGCCGTTGTTAGGAGGCGTTGTATGCTGAAGTCCTGCAGCTCCTCTCCCCAGGGAACTTGATGTTTAGATCCCCAATGAAAGGGCGACTTGAATAGCTTGGGTCAAAAAGTGGATGGGGTGCTGAAATTGACCAGAGCTGATTCCTGCTGGGATGCGTGAGGGCGTGGCCACCCCGAGTCCCGGCAAAGCTGTGTGAAGCCCTTGAGTGCAGTGGTACTCGGTAATGGAAGGAGACAGGCAGTGCATGGGGCTCAGGGCCTGCAGCCAGCCGGGGTACAGTGAACCGCGCGCGCTTGGTGACATCTGGCCTCCCAGGCAGGAAGAAAGCACAGCTAGACCCCGGGAGAAGGCACAGCACACCCATGAGGTGCCAAAGTGGAAAGATGTCCTGAAAGCAGTTCAGAGTGTGGGCGACATGGGTCACGCGCTCAGTGCGTGGAAGGGTTAGAAGTGAGTGTGTTACTGGGTGGAGTAAGCAGAGCGAGAAGACAAACTTGGAGAGGGCCTGTGACTCCGGCTAACAAAGGATCAGCTTCTGGAGCATGAGAGGGACCTTGTGGACAGGAGCCTGGGGTGGCCCGAAGCCAACAAGACGGCCACAGCTCCCTGGCAGGTGGAGGGTGGGCTCACCGGGCCGAGTGTGGTGCCGGCCTCCAGCCTAGCCATGGCTCAGGCCAGTGCCAGCCAAGACCCCAGACTCGGGGCAGTTGGAACTGGCTGTGTCATAAGGGGTGGGGGGCCGTGTCCACGTGCTCTCTCCGTCTGTCTGTGTCTCTATCTTCCCGTCTGTCTCTCTCTTTGTCTCTGTTCTCTGTCTCTCTGTCTCTCATCTTCCTGGGCTGCCCTCTCTGACCTGGGGGGAGGAGGCGGCTTCATGGCACGGCCCTGGGCCCACGGCTTAGCACGTCGGTAGCCTTGGTGCCCTGACCAGGGCCTTGCTCCCTGGGAGGCCTCTCCAAGGAGGCTATGCTTTGTTTCAGAGCTTGTCCTGCATCTGTTGGTTCACTGTGGTTCACAGAGAGGCTGGCATGCCTGGCCCTTGGGGACCCACCAGGGTCTCCATTCCCGCTTTGCCGCCGGGGTCCTGCAATGTGTTGTCCTCCCAAAGGTAGGGTCTGGGCCCACACGCCCCTGGCAGAGGCTCCTGCCCCAGTGGCCATGTGGCCCGCAGAGTTCCTGGTGGTCCGCTGGGAGTGGCTCGGGAGACAAAGTGGCCTGGACTTGTCTCCACCATTAACACCAGGTTCTGGCACTGGTCACTTGACAGGTTGGGGCTTGCAGTGGGTGTGACCTTGTGGGTTGTGGCCCTTTGGGTTGTGACCTTGTGGGCTGTGGGGCAGCGCTGGCAAGGGTGGAGGAACAGAGTCCTGCCGCAGGACCGATGGCCCTCGGTCCCATGCCCTTGGTGACAGGTTCCATCAGTCACAGCTGTGCAGAATCAGGTAGTTTGTCACACGACAACTAAAGAGCCAATTCCACCTTCCAGCGCGGGACTGGCCCCATGCGCGTGTGGGTGCATCTTACACTCGGGAGAGCTGCTCCTGGGCTCAGGAGCCAGGTGCTTCTGGGAGACATCTACTCTGGTCACTTTGGACTTCAGCATCTCAGCACCCAGGTCTCAGGGCTCAGCATCCTCTCAGGGCCTGGCTGTCAGGCCTGAGTCAGGTTTGAACCCGGGGTGTGGGTTCGAGGACGCTCCCTTTTCTGACCCTGTTGGGTGGGTGTGGGCCTTGGCCCAGGAATGGTGCCCAGCAGTGCTGTGTGCCCGGCTGTGGAAAGAGACACCAGGCAGCCAGACACTCAAGAGCTGCGCACAGCGTGTGGCCTCAGTGCCACCATGCACCGTGGGTCGTGTCGGGTTGTGTCCAGGTGCGCCGAAGCCTATACTCAGCGGCACACGCCCCGCCCGCCCTGTCACAGCGCAGGGGGTCCCATGGGACTGCCGTGCCATGGTCCAGGGACGAGCTGTGCTGGGGTGGGTGGGTCTGGGAAGCCACGCCCGTTGCTCCTTGGCTGCCTACAGTGGGGACTTGTCCCAGTCTGCCCTGGAGAGGGCCCTGGACAGGACTGGCCACACCCTACACCTGGTGGGCACCTCCCCCTCAGCGTGGGCAGGGCTGGCAGAGCCCAGCCCACGGGTTGGCCTCCCTGGGCTCTTCCTGGTGGCAGTACAGCTCCTACCCACTCAGGGTCATGGGGAGGGTGTGGTGTCCTCAGCCCTCAGGTGCAGACAGGAGACCTGTTGGAGTGTCCAGTGTCCAGACCGGGGCACAGGGCACTGCCAGTGTCCAAGCCTGCCTGGGTCCCCTGGCCCTCCGAGCAGACAGCTCTGGAGTTGGGTGGGTGCAAGTGTTCTGCCTTTTTTTACCCCGAGTGGATCCTGCACCCCATGTGCTTCTGGGTTCTGCTGGTCTGTCCTTCCTTTAGGGTCACTGCGTCGGCCTCTCGCACTTGTGACAAAGGGTGATGCCTCCTCCCCGCCCTGCCCCGCCCCGCCTCAGCAGGTCTCCTGGGCACACTGGTGACCTCTTGACCAGGCCTTTGGTTTTCTGCTTGAAGTTCTAGGTGGAGACTTACTGTGTGTGTGCGTGTGTGTATGTGTGTTAGGCTGTGTGAAATACTCATACCTGGGCTTTTCGGAGACTGCAGCTGACCCTCTGTGGCTGCCCGAGTTTGGCCTCAGACTGTCAGACCCTGAGGGCCATGGGGACTAGAGCCAAGTCACCGGTCTTGTCCCCAGCAGCAGGTGCTGTGACTCAGCTGGTGGGGAGCACGCAGGTGGTGAGAGAGCTGTGGGTGCCCCGGGAGCAGAGGGTGGGTGGGAAGCCAGGCACAGCAGGGGGCACCAGGCAGGCCAAGGCTTAATCCACCTTCCCACAGACCAAGCCTCAGCCCAGCCCTGGCTCAGGGTGTTTAGCACCTCTATTTCTGGAAGCACGTAAGCCTCTGTGTAAGAGGGCCAAGGTCTCGCTGTGTGGCTCTGCCAACCCCTTGCTGCCTGAGCTCAGCCTGGTGCCATCCACGGTGCCCCTGTGAGACTGGGAGCCCTGGGCTCTGCACTGGGACAGAACGGGGTGTGCTCAGTTATGAGGGATGCGCTAGGGACAGATGCAAATGAGTCTGTAAAGGGGGCCAGCAGCTTTCATCTCAGGGTGTTGTTTTGTTTTTGCAATGCTGGGAATGGAACCAGAGCCTCATAGAAGCCAGGCAAGTGCTCACCACAGAGCCACCCCCACCTAGGCCTATTTATTTATTTATTGCAGTACCGGGGATCGATCTCAAGACCTTGCACTTGGGAGGCAGGCATGGTGCCACTGAGCTAAATCCCTGGCCCAGGCCCTTTTATTTTTTGAGGACAGGGTCTAAGTTGCTCAGGCTGGTCTTGAACTCATGATCCTCCTTCCTGCTTCAGCCTCCCAAGTACCTGGGATCAATCACATCAACCTGGCTGAATCCATTTTTAGCATGGACCAAGCATTAAAAATTATAACATCACATTAAGGTAAAAACGAAGCCTGAAGTTCTTTTGCTAAGACCTGTTTAAAAGAAAACTCGAAAAGTAGCAGGAAGTGTTGGTCTCAGTGTGAGTTTTATTCTGATTGCGAGGACGCTGTCCCGCCCCACTGAGCATGCAGCCGGAACACGCAGGCACAGCCCACTGTCGGGCAGCCGCCCCTGTGAACACGGCCCAGCCCTGTGCCTCTGGCCCCAGGGATGCACAGAAACCCTCCCCCAGCGTTCTCCTCTTCAGTTCCTGTTGTCATCGGTGCAGGTTTGTAGTGATCCCGTTCCTCGGGGGAGTGCTCACCGTGCATAACGCTGCTCTGTGCTTTTCACATCTCCTTCCCTTCTCTTGGTCCCCTTCGCATCTGAGAAAGGCCCATCTCCCTGTTTCCTATTATCTATCTTTTATGTTGCTCTGTATTTACATTTTGGGTTTCTCATATAAGAAAAATAATGAGATATGTAAGTTTGCGTGTCTGATTTATTTCACTTAACATTATGGTCTCCATTTTCCTACAGATGGCTCAAGTTCATTCCTCTTTACGGCAGAATTGCACTGCATTATGTGTAAATACTGCATTTCTTTATCCATTCATCTGCGGGTGGCCGCTTCCGAGATGTAGCTACTCTTTGTACTGCTGTAAAGGAAGAGTACACGGGTCACTATAATGTGATGTCTTTCGTCTCAGGAAGATACCTAGGAGCAGAATAGTGAGATGGAATGGAATTTTTAGTTTGAGATTTTTGAGGACTGTCCACACTGTTTTCCCTAGTGATTGTACTAGTTCATACTCACACCAACAGTGTAGGAGGGCTCCTTCCCCCCACAGCCTCTCCAGCACTTGCTATTATTGTATAACTTTGGCCATTCTTTCTGGGGTAAGACAGAATCTCAGGGTTACTTCAATTTGCATTTCTGTAATGGCCAGCAATGTTGAACATTTTAAAAATGCATTTATTGGCCATTTGTTGTCTGTTCATTTCTCCTGTCCATTTATTGAACAGGTCCTTTATTTAGGGAGTCTAATTGTTGAGTCTTTTATAGTATGTATCAGTCCTCTGTCTGAGGAGTAGCTGGCAAAGTGTTTTTCCCATTCTGCAGGCTGTCTCTTCACTCTGCTGTTTGTTTCCTCTGCTGTGCAGAAGCTTTTTAATTTGATGTGATCCCATTTGTTGATTCTTGGTTTTGTGCAAATGGAGTTCTGTTCAGAAAGTCCTTGCCTAGGCCCATGACTTCAGGAGCGGCACCTGTTTTATCTTCCAGCAGATTCGGTGTTTCTGTGTTAACAGGGAGACTGTTGAGTGTTTTGATTTATTTACCTTTTCTTGACCAGCTTGTTTCACGGAATGAAGCATCCCCTGGGCAGTCTGGGCTTGGCCTGGGCAAAGCTTCCTTTTCAGGCTGGACAGTGTCCTGCCCACACACCGGGTGTCCATGTACCCACGGCCCTGCCAAGAGGGGTCTGCTCGGCATGCGGCCCTCACCTCTGGCACCCGTGGGCGTCCAGGGAGGACTTGCTCTGGGGCATCCACTTCCCAGTGCCATGTCCAAACCCTGTCCTGGACTTGGCCTCATGTGCTCTGCCCTTCCCTTCCAGGAGGGAGCCCTGTTGCTCCTCCTGGCTGAGCGGGCAGAGGCCACCGGGCCGGGTGCCGTGTGCAGCATGTGGCATGGGTTCTTGACACCCCTCTTCCCTTGGCAGATTACTACAGCCCGGCCATGCTGGGCCTGAAGACGGACCAGGAAGTCCTGGCAGAGCTGGTGAGGATGAAGCTGCCGGCGGTGGCGGCCCTGCTGGATGGGCACGGCGTGCTGTGGACCCTGGTGGTGTCCCGCTGGTTCATCTGCCTGTTCGTGGACATCCTGCCCGTGGAGGTGAGTGTGTGTGCGGGCAACCCCTGGCATGGCATGGGCTGCTGCGGAGGTGACACGGGGCTCTATCCTACAGACTGTGCTTCGGATCTGGGACTGTTTGTTCAATGAAGGCTCCAAAATCATCTTCCGGGTGGCCCTGACCCTGCTTAAGCAACACCAGGCATTCATTTTGGAAGCCACCAGTGTGCCAGACATTTGTGACAAGTTCAAGCAGATCACCCGAGGGGCCTTCGTGGAGCAGTGCCACACGTTCATGCAGGTATGCGCCGGGGTGCTCCCACCCCGGGAGGCTCCTGCGGGCTGTGGTCTGTGCAGAGTCCAGATCCCCTGCCCAAGGCCTCCTCAGACCCCTGGAGGGCCAGGTAAATGCACTGGAGAGCACACAGCCCCGCCTTGCTGTCCCTCAGGTTCCCAGGGTCTGGGGCACTGGCGCATGTCCCTGAGACATGGCCTCACCAGGAGCCTGATCACAGGGCTTCCCGGCTGTCGTCTCCAGCAGTGGTCCCTCCTGCCCTGGTAGGTGGTTCTCCATGGCCCCAGAAGCACAGCTCCCCAAGGCCAGGAACACTCAGGACCTGAGGTGTAGAAAGTGGGTCTGTGGAGGTTGGGAGGGGCAGGGCTGCGAGCAGAGCCCGTTGCTTCACATGCTCACTCTGAAAAGACCAGATGCAGCCGAGGTGGCGGGGGATCCTGGCTGCCTGCCTGTGCCGCAGCGAGGAGCACATCATGCTGTGGGTGGTGCAGGGTGCTGTTCTGGCAGCCAGGGCAGTGCGTTCAGGGAGAACAGTGGACTGGGCTAGAAAACCCGTGCTGGTTTCATGTTGGATGGGGCAGTGCCAGGGAGCACCTGCACGGGGCAGGGGACCCTCTGCCCGGGCTCACTCTGGGGAAGGGGCTTGGGCAGAAGCCACCCCATCCCCACCCTTGCGAGGGTCGAGCTGCAGGTGAGATAGAGCTACAATTTGGGCTGGTTCTTACGCCTGCTGGTGGCTGTCACCACCATCCCCTTTTCTTCAGGGCCCTGAAGGGCACAGTCCCCAAGGTGCCTCCAATGTTGCCAGTGGGCTGAAGGTCCATGCTCAGGCTTGGTAGCAGTAGCCATCCAGTGCCAGCAGCTCTCAGTGTGAGGTGTTGGGAACCCTGCCACCCCAAGGTGGTCACTGGTCCTGGTCATTGATTCTCACTGCTGTTGTCGTCTGCTGTGAGCCAGGTCACCAGCTCTGGCTGTGGGCAGCCTTTGGTGTTCCCAGCTCGCAGTGTACCTGACCAGGATGCTCTACTCGGGAGAAGTACAGGCTCCCTCTTGCGGAGCACTGGACCCTTCTGTCCTGTCTCGTTTCCCCAAAGATTCTACTCTCCTTTTACTCATTTGTGTGTGTGTGTATGTGGGCACTGTGGGCTGAACCTGGGGCAGGCTCCACGCATGCTAGGCTGGCACTGTACCATGGAGCTGTGTCCTGGCCGTCCTCTTCATCCCAGGGGAGTCGAAGGGTGACCTCGGTCTGCCAGCACTGCCTCAGTGCTAATCTAGGGCAGCTGGCCCTGCCCGGCAGGCGCTCCTTAGACCAGTAGGACCAGCCCTTCTCCCGACGCTCCAGGTTGACACAGAGTTGCTGCAGCCTGGAGAGACAACTTAACACTTTAAACAAGTATGGGTCAAAAACCAGCAGCAGAAGCGGTGCTTGCTGTTAGGGCCTGGGTGAGGCTGGGCACTGTACCCTGTCCTATAGGCCTGTGTGACAGCTTATGAAGTCAGACGGGTTGTGTCCCTTAATGTGAAATGTGGTCTTGTCGTTCATCCTGTTGGATAAATAGATGTGAGGTCTCTTCGGGCCCAAAGTGTCTTTGCCAGAATCTGGGGTGTTCTCGTCCTCCTCTCTGGAGTTAGCTAAAGGTTTGCACCTCACAGGAGACTCCGGAGTATTGTCCTTGGGCCTACGAGAAACAGGTTTGCCTCAGAAACCCAAGTCGTGACACTGTGCTTGACCACGGTGGGGTGCTTAGCAGAACCTGGCACAGCCCTTGCAGCTAGGTTGTGGGGGGCCTTATAGGGGTCCCTCTGGTAAAGGCTGACAGTGTTCACGTGTTGTCAGGACTTTTGCTCTTCACCTGGACAATGACACCTCAGAGTCTTATAAAAGCTGTCAGAAGCAAGGGTGGACATTACTCAGGGGTCCGTTTCCCCATGTGGTTCATCCCCAGATGACTGCAGTCCCCAGGAGGGAAAGAAGTGTTATTTACCTGAGGTCCACAGGAAAGATGCTGGGTGACCTTGTCCAAAAGTGAGGCCCTGTTATCGCTTTGGGGACTCTGGGAGCCCAAGGAGGGGTTGTTTCCCTCAGAACGGCCTCTGCCACTGGACGGGAAGTCTTCACTCCATTCCTCACCCTCATCCGCCCGCCTGCTCCTGCCGTCCACACAGCCATGCTGCAGGCAGGCGAGCCATCGCTGGAGCCCGAGCCCTGGCCAATGTGACATCCTTCTGAAGGTCTAAAGGAGGCCAGCAGCCTCCTCTTCATCCTGCCAACATGGGGGAACAGGCAGGAGAGCCAATCCGCAGCAACGGTGGACACACACCCTGGAACCACAGACAACAGTGGCCTTTTGCATACCCAGCCTTCAGCCTTGGGTTTATCCATCCATTTGTGTCCATGGCAATGTCAGCAGGACGACAGAGGTAACACGTTATTGGGCTGGTTCATTCTGACACTAACTCTGCTTATTTCCAGAAAATATTTTCACAACCTGGGAGCCTGTCCATGACAACCATCACCAGGCTCCGAGAGAGCTGCCAGGCAGCACTGCTGGCACAGAGGTGACCACATCCCCCACATCCCCACAGCATCCCACATTCCTGGCACTGGGAAGAGTCTTGGCGGAAGGCTAAGGCCTAAGCAGCCTGCACTGCCTCCGTCAGTGCCGTAAATACTGAAGTCACCACACTTTTGTGGTGAGTTTTTTAAAAAAGTGATTATTTAAAAATTGCGTCATTCTATAGACTTTCCATTATGACCTGTGATGTCATAGATTTCAGGAAATTATTTTAGACATCAGTAATATATGTGAGATGTGCCTTTATATTTAATAAAATATTTCAGCACTTTGAGTTTGCAATTCTCAGCTTGTTAACTAGTTAAAAATTCAAGTCAAGAAGGCCTGTGGCTGTACTGTATTCCTCCAGTATCCCTGCGGCACAGCATTTATCTTCATCTGGTTTGTGCCTGCAGCACGATTCGCCTTTGGTTTTTCTCAAGGACTGAGTCCCTGAGGAGGGGAACACAGCTCAAGCAGAGACCAGTGGGGCTGTGCTGGGCCTCTCAGGCTGGTGCCCTGGACTGCCCTCCTGCCCGACAGTGCTGCCGCTGGACGAGGAGCTTCCTGGGAGGCTGGGCAAGGGTGAGCCAGGCTCCTGCCTTCCCCACTGACCTTCAAATCTGTCGGTCCTGGGTGTCATCCCACTGCCACACCCATGGGAGGTGGGCTTCTTAGCTATCTCAGACATGGCTGAGGGGACCTCGTGGCCCCCATGGTGACTCACATGCCCAGCCTGGCACACCATCACTGTGGTGCACCTGCTTTGGGGACTGGCTTTCCTGCAGCTGGGCCACCCACCACCACCACGGGGGCAGTTCAGATGCTCTCGGTCACTGCTCGGCCTGGTGTAGTGTACCCTGGGAGGACCCCGCCCTCCTGACTGTCACGGCCGCTAAGGCCTCTGAAGCCTGTCCTTCAGGGACACTTCTCCCCAGCACTGCTCCTAGGTTGGACCAGCTCGGGGACATGACCTGACCAATGTCCCTGCTCCCTGGAGTTTTTGGAAGGGCCCCTGGCGCTGCCCCAGGAGAGTCAATCCTCAAGGTGTCCACTCCAGACCCCTTTCCAAATGCTGATGCTCTCAGCAGGCTCCGGTGCCAGTGCTGCCCAGCCTGGGGGTGGCAGCCTCCTGAGACCCACAGTGTCCACTGCAGCTTTGACTCAGTGCTGGCTCACTTACCTCTCTGAAGTGCTGCCAGAAGTACCAGGGTCAGTGTACCAGTCAGGGAGCCAAGCTCTAGGGCACCTGGCCACTGTCCTACTCACCCGGGGCCTCTGAATCCCACACCCAGGCCCCACCTCAGTGGTCTTGGGTTTGTGCTCCCAAAAGCCCTGGCTTCTGCCATGGGCAGGGCTCCTGCTCTGTGAGGCCTGGCATGTTGTTAGGGGCACACGGAAGTGCTGAGAACAAGGCCAGCATCACTGCAGGCTGCCTTGAGAACTGGACGAATGGCCAGTGCTGTGGAGATCTGCTGGTGAGGTGTCCCATCCTGCACACACATGCAGCTCTCTACACTGGTGGGCATCTGCCTGGGAGGCCACGCTCCCTGCTGTCAGCTCAGCCCGGCTCCAGGTCCACACTGTCGTGGGCACTTGTGGCGCTGACAAAAGCACAAGGTCCAGACCGACAAAGAAAGTGTCTGTTTATTAGCATCGTTACAGGCAATGCAGCTCACAGAGCCAGGCTCTGTGCTAGCCACCGAGCACAGCAGAGGCCTCGGCAGTGAGAGCCTATCCTTGTACAACGCACGACAGGGCGACACCGGATGCCAACACAAGACCAGGAACCATTTTACAAGTGAACAAAAACAACACCCTTTTGACACCTAGGAAAGCAGAAGCTTCAGACAGCAGGCTGGTAACACAGGCTGGACGCCGGGCCTGGTCCTCCCGACCTGAGGCTGCAACGAGCCTCCAGATGTGCCCGGGACCCATGTTAGCTCCTGGGTGTGCCAGCCTGTCTGCCACCCCTGTCGGTCTGCGTGTTCAGACCTGACTCTGCACGGCCTAAATCTGAGCAAAGAAGAAAGGAACCAACACTGAATTTTGAAACAGTGAATGAGTGGAGCCCATGCCAATTCAGAAAAGCACTCTTGCCCTCGCGTAGTTCTACTTTGGTAAATATTAACATTTAACCAGTTAGCAAAATATTTAACCCAGTTAGCAAAATTAACACCGTCATTTCAATATTAACTTTGTGCATAGTAAATGTTGCAAGATGAACTTCACATTTGTAAGCAGATTTGAGAACAGTTTGCCAGAAAGTGTGCCTCCCTGCACACCACGCACGCCCGGTGCGGCAGCCGCCCCGTCTGCGGCGCCCGCTGCGCCTAGATGGTCTGGTAGCCGGCGTGACTCCTCTTCCTGCCGATGAGGTAGGCCAGGAGCACCACGAGCACAAGCCCAGCCAGGGCGCCGCCCACGGCGATGGGGATCAGCATGTTGTTCCCGTCCAGCAGACACACCTCAGCTGTGACAGGAGGGGGCGTCACCCTGGGCCCAGCGCTCTTCGCCCTACTCAGAGCTGGCCAGCTCCGCCGAGCCCTGGAGGCCCTCTGGAACACGAACCCCCAGGACACAAGGACGCAACCCCTCGCCAGAGGCTGCTGGGGCCAGGTGACCCTCTGAAGTGAAGAACTCTCCGCACAACCCCGCCTCTGTTCAGATGCAGCTCCCCCAGCCCGGGAACGTGTGCAGGGTGCGCCGCAGGTCACCATGTGCGCCATGCAGCGTACTCACCGGACCCGAACTTGTTCCCCTCGACCTTGAAAGCCTGGACCTGCACGCTGAAGAGGTTGAGGAAGAAGCTGGGCGTGACACGCAGGCGTTCCTCAGTGGTGCACTTGTAGGAGTTCCCAACGGTGGCCTGAAGGGCTCTCAGCGAGTTGTTGGCCGCTTGGACAGTGGCCCCTGCAAGACAGGTGAGTCTGATCGCCTCAGGCCACCATGGGCAGGGGTCATGCAATCGTGGGCAGGGTCAGCATCACAAGCCTCACCTTGGGCATCAGGGACGGTCATGTTCAACTTGACCGTTTCTAGGAAGAACCGGTTGGCACTCGAATTCTGAAAGAGAAGAGACCCTGAGCTGCCTTCCAGGATGGCGTGGGCACCGTCACCCCACAGGTGAAAGGTGTCAGTCCAGAGCTGTTTCCAGCTCTAGAATGAAGCTGCATGGTGTCCTACCTACAGGGAAACACACCGGTCAGTTCCTTCCAGGCCTTTTTACGCATTCACTCTCCACTGGAAAGAGCACTGCAGGAGCCCACACTAAAGCAGTGAGCTTTTGCCAGACGGGACAGAAAAGACCCGACTGAACCAGTGCATGCGCAGTGTGTGAACACTGAAGGGCAGTATTCATGCTTCCTATTTTGCTGCCTCTACATGTGACTTTTTCTAGGGATGACAACACAGAAACACCACTGCTGAGCAGCAACGCAGCACCCGGTGTTCAGGAGCCCTCTGCCACCTCCTCCCAGTGGGCTCTGACTGCGGGGACTCTGCTCATGTTCACTGTAGTCAGCGTGTCACCCACAGCGGCCTGGGCTCCTTGGAGGCAGGAAGGGGTCCTGCTCAACACCCACCAAGGCACGACAGAAGGTGGCAGGAGGCAGCCCTGCGAAGAGGCCCCGACGCGGGAGCCTCACCATGCGAAAGTTCAAGCCCAGGACCACGCCGTCCTCACTCCGTATCTCCAGGGACACCAGGTTGGCACTGCAGCTCCCCATGGCAGTGGCTACATTGGGGTTGATGTTGACCACTCTGGTCATGGTCTAGAGAAAGCAGATTAAGTGATAGCTCAGTTCTCCTAACAAGAATTGAGAGGTCGTAAGAGACCCAGAAGAAAACACACATCCTACACCAGTAGACTGCTGGCTTTCAAAACAGCCTTTGTAGGAATGGCCATCTCCCTACCGTGTTGTCCTTGCGTGAGTAGGTGACGTTCAACTGCAGCCCCATTCTGGCCAGCAGGCAAGTCCCATTGTTGCCGCTCACGTTGTAGGTGGATGCGGTGGGGCTTGGGGGTGTGGGGCTGGGCGGTGTGGGGGGTTTGGGTGGTGCAGGTGGCACAGAGGTCGGAGAAGGCAGGTCCTGCTTGCAGCGCGTCTCTGTGGGGACAGTGCAGGGGGTACGTGGAGCCTAGTTCCAAGCTCGGCATTCTTCCAGCATCCACTTACTCCCTGAGACAAACCTGGAGCTGGAATGCCCCCACCTAGCCTGCAGACCCACATCCTCCATCCAGTCAAGCTCAGCCCAACAGTGACCAGGTCTCAGGCGGCAGGGTGAACGGGGACCCAGAGCCTCTCTGTCCATCCCACCTCTGCAGCAGGACAGCTCACGTCCCTGCAGATCGCTGGGCAATGCACAGCCCTTCCCTGCCGGTAGGGGGCCACGAGGAAGGCTGCAATCGGCCACAAGGACACAGGAAGGGCCACTGGGCAGCCAGCTGTTCTGGTCTCTCTGGTGCAGGGTGTGAGGGCACGGAGACAGCCACTGGGGAAGTGAGGGACATGGGCACCTATGGAGGGGCTGCTCGGGGACAGGCTCGGGGTTCTGGCTGTGGTTCTACCCCTCAGTAGCAGGACAACTGCACACAGTGCTCCCTGCCTCCTCAGGCCTCTCTGTTTTCTTTGTGGCTAATCAAGGGGTCTGGAATGACGGGTTCAGGTTTCCCCCAGTTCCATCCTTTCCCACATTTCCATAAAACTGAGTCATGGGGACATGCAGGAAGCCCAGAGAGGCACCAGGTTTCCTTGACAAGCACATGTTTCTCTCAGAGGCAAAATGAAGCTCAACTCCGTACTCTTCCAGTGGCCAGCTCCGCCTTCAGTCCACCCACTGTGCTATAAGGGGCTTCACACACCTCTGGAAGGGTCCCTCTCCGTGGGCACCCCCTTTTGGACACAGGAAAAGACCAGGGTGGGTGCAGAGCAACTTCCCATGCCACACAGTGACCTTAACCTGGGTTCTGGGGCACAGCCCAGACTAGGAGACCCAGAGCGACTGGTGAGGCCATGGGTCGGCACCAGGGCCAAGCTAGCTAAGGACTGCAGCCTTTGCCATGGCACACATCCCCTCGGCTCTTGTCTGACCACCCAACCATCCTCCCTGGGCTCTCACTGACGGCAAAAGCCCCTGATGCAGAGGAGGGGAGGGGAGGACGTGCTGAGGACCTTCCAGCTCCCAAGCCCTGAGGACAGCATTCCTCCAGTGAAGCCCTGCCCTGCAGAAGACCCAAGCACAGGGGTATTCCGCTTCAATTCCTTCCACTCAGGCAGGACCACAAGAGTCTGGGTCCTAAGGGATGAAGGAAAAACTGCCAAGCTGGGTGGAAGGGAAGCTTACGAAGACCTACACTTAAAAGCATATCCACATATCAAACTCTGAAGATCAAGATGGATAAATCGGAGCTCTGTGGGGACCCAGAGGCCCAGAGGCCCAGAGGCCCGCCCGGGCTGAACATCACCCATTGAAGCTCCATCCCAGGACACATCTCCTGGGCCCCTGCAGCCGCTTTAGGGTAAGCACAGTCTGCTGCCTTGGAGGGGCCCTCTGAGAGGTTTTGTTCTCTCCACAACAAGACCAACAGAAAGTCAGTTCAGGCCTGGTGTGTGCCTCATTTAAATTTGTGAACCACCTGAGTTTTCTTCCATATGACCAACACTGGTGGGAGGTAAGATGAACAAGGCTTTCTGGCCAGGCCCTCACTGAACAAATGACAGACAAGCTCACAGAGCTTGACACAGGCAAGAGAAAAGGGAGCTACTTTATGGCCAAAACAGTAACCGATTTAGCAGAAATATATTCCTCCAACAATTGCTTGGAATTCCTAATGGGAACAGACCAAGGATACAACAATACACCCCACGTAAATGATGTAGGACCCTCCCCTGAAAACACTGGAAACTCAGTTAAGGGAAAACAAAACATAAACCACAGAAGTGCCTAGGAGCCCTATGAATGAAAAGAAAGTGGAGAAAGAACGACTCGACTTTATAAACAGCAAGTATTTTGAAGCAGGTAATCCTGTGCTGCCGTGGGGTCAGTTACTTCAAGTCCAAAGGTGGCCACACCTCACCAAGGAGCAGCCCTGGTGGGTCCTGAGAGCTCTGATCCCCATCGCACCACCCAGAGCACAGGGACCACCCTACTCCAGACAGTGAGGCCAGGGTTGCACCTCTCAGGAAATGAGGGAGCAGAGTTAGCTAGGAGCCCCCCCAAGTGTCTGCTTGGGTGTGGGGTGATCCCAGGTGCTGGGGACAGAAGCCAGTGCCCCTGGACTGTGAGGCACAAGCTCTCCACTGAGCCACACCCCAGGCCTGGTCCTGCTGGTGCTGAGAATTCCTAGCAAGAGAGGCCCAGAATGACAGACAAGGGCTGACTGCTCAGGGGGGCCGCAGGGCTCCCTCCCCAAGACACAGAACAGGAGTGCCTGTGGCTGCAGCCCAACCCTCCCCACTCCAGCTGATGACCAGGAGGGAACTGGTGTTGATCCCAGGACACCATGGCTGCCACAGATAAGCAGTGGGGCTTCTGGGTAAACCTTGGCTCCCAGAATCCTCTAGAATCCACTAACAGAGTACTCCAGGAGCACAGAAGCAGCATTAAGACCTCCTTCCCAAGGTACATGCACCAACCTCATGTGAGGAGGGGAAGGGTGGCTTCTGCCAGCCCTTCTCAGAGAGGCAGGATGTGCTGAGCATGGACAGGCCGCAAGCCCAGCTCTGGGTAGCCCCAAGTGCCACACACAAGCACATCACGGTGCTGACCACCAGCTGCCCAGGGGGGAGCCTCGTTCTCAGACCCTCTCCCCATGGGACAAGAGAATACATTCTGTGTTTAAAAAGAGAGACCACGTATGCGTGGGATTTAGACAGTGGAGATAAGTGGCAAGCATTCACTGGGCCCTGAACTTCAAACTGTTCTAAAAAACAAAGTCTCTCACCAGGCGTGGTGGTGCATGCCTGTAATCCCAGCACTTGGGAGGCTGAGGCAGGAGGATCCTGAGTTCGAGACCAGCCTGGGCTATATAATGAGTTCCAGGTCAGTCTCAATTACACAGTGAGACCCTGTCTCAAAAAACAAAATAACAAAACAAAAATAAAAAACAAAGTCTCTCTCAAAAGTAATTATTAAATGGGCCAGGGATTGAGCTCAGTGGTTCCACTGCTTGACTCGCAAATGCAAGGTCCTGAGTTTGAAACCTGGTACCAAACGACGACAACAAAACAACTAAGTAATTATTAATTTAAAAGACAAGTGAGTCCCTGTCTGCTGTGTCTCCATTTTCAGTCAGGAGGAGCAGCCATGGTCTCAGAGTTCTCCCTGTGCTTGTCCTAGGCCACAGCACAACCTCCAGCCTCCAGCCTCCAGGCCCTGCGTGGGCTGGGGCACAGAAAAAAGCAGGCCACCAGAGGACACGCCAGCATGGTGGCACTGCGGGCCCAGCCAGGAGTAGCCCCTGGACAAGTGTGGCCAGCTCGTCCCAGGTCCTGACAGTGTCCACTGCCATCTGCTCCTGACCCGAGAAATCCAAGGCTAGCTTAAGACCACACAACCTGTGCGCACCCAGCGGTTGAGACCCACGCTCCAGACCAGCCCTGCTCTGCTGAGTTCACCAGCACTCCTGAGGCCCATGCGCAGCCATTCCCTCCTGACCAGGCAGGCTCCACTCCAGGCCAGTGCTCCAAAGAGGCTGCCTGTGGGGGCAGGGCCTCGCCACGCACCAGAAGCTGGCTTCTTCTGGCCCTGGCCCTGTCACTCACGCTTTTGCCACCTTTCTGTGAAGCGACAGACCATGAATGGATCAGACTGTGGGCTGTGGCTGGGTGATGTGAGAGCAGCTACCAGAACCAGGAAGAACCAGAGGCTGTATCCTGGCTGGACTCTCCTTGTGGGCCCTGGCACTGTGTGCCCCTTGGGCTTCTCCTGACATAGGGTGGGGCTGAGAGTCCATGGGGTAGGGAAGGGCCGGTGCCATGAAAAAGCCCTGTCCCCAAGCCATCCAGGGCCTACAGCAGGACTGCAGAGGGACCTGTGCACGAGGGCCCGGGAGGCCCTTGCTGTCCCCACAGTGACATGGTCAGGCAAGCCCATGCCCACCCCAAGAAACCGCAGCCTCAGCCTTCTGAACAAGGCTGTGGTTTCTGAACTGATGCAGAGGATGTGGGACTCACCCACCACTCATCCTGCAGTACTAGGGATTGAACCTAGGGCCTGCATATCCCAGGCAGGAGTCACTCTGCAATGTCCCCGCCCCAGCCCTTTCTGAGAAAGGGTCTTATTGCCCAGGCTAACCTGAAACGTGCAATCCTCCTGCTTCTTCCTCCTTAGCAGCTGGAATTACAAGTGAGCACCATCGTGCCAAGTACAATTTACTGTTTTCCCCCCACTTTCTCCTGTGTTTTCTTAAAATTATTTACTAAATACGAAAAAAAAAGTAATGCCCAGGAGTATAGCTCGGTGGTAGAACGCCCCTGGGTTCATTCCTTAGCACTACAAAGAAAAAGAAAAACTGCTACTCCGCCAGGTACTGCGATAAATACTTTGCATACATTTCCTTTTTAATCCCAGCAACCTTCAAAGCCAGACTACCGTTCTTATTCTACAAGTAAAGAAAGCAAGAGCTTGACCACCTTGCCAGGCGTCAGGGTGAGAAGGCAGCCTGGACCCTGCCATCTGGCCCAGATCTCGCGGCAGGACGGGAGAGGAGAGGCCCAGGTCACACCCCTCAGGAAGGCCTCTGTCCTAGGCCTGAGCGGCACAGAGGCGGAGCCAGCAGGGAGCTGGTCCCACCTGCCAAGCCCCGGAAAGTCAGCGCAAGGAAGGTGTCCACTGCGCTGCCCCTCTGCCCCTTCCTAATTAAACTGCATGTGCATCCTGGAACAGACTCTCAAGCCAGTTGACACCCACTTGCCTCCCCTGCCTCTCCTCCAGGAAGGGCACTCCTGACCCACTCCAAGGAAGATCCTGCCCCACCTCCACCCACTCTGGGTCTGCCCCTCTTCGGGCATCAGAGGAGGGAGGGCAGAGCCTAGCTTGCTGTCCAGTCTTGCCCACTCTCACTCTCCAAGGCCAGCTCCGCGGTCATGGGCTGGCTGCACCAGGTGCTGGGACCCCAGAGAGGCCCTGCACTCACTGTGACTGGCAGTGTCTCACCTCCCTTGCTGAAGTTGCCGTTGGACAAGTAGGCCTCAATGGTGGTGTCGGAGAGAGTGATGGTCACATTCTGCATGTGCACCTGGGTGGCGCTGACACAGCGGTACTTTTTGTCTATGTCCGCCAGGATGTCAGTCATGGAGTCCTCAGCCTTGACTTCTGTAGCAAGAACAGAACTGCATCACCCACACGCACATGCACACAACTGAACAGGTTCTTACAGTATCCAGTTGCTGGCAAGCTCAACCACCCTGCAACCCCAGTTCCTGGGCTCTCACCCTTGGAGCTCGCATTGGGGAAGATGTCTGTGTCTCCCAAATTATACACAAAGTGCAGGAGCCGGACGCGGTAGCGGGTGGCATTCCGTGTGAACTGGAGGGTCAGCGAATGTCCTCCTCCAAAGGCGATGGCCAGGCTGGGCTCGGAGGCGTTGACTCCACCGCACGAGCTGTTGCTATTTAGTACGTGTGCGGAGGATGGCAGGGGAAAGGTCGCGTTCTAGGACACACAATCCGAGAGCCCCATGAGAAGCAGAAACGCCACAGGCATTCTTCCTTCCACCTTCCACGGGGCTCACAGGAACCTTGGCTCCATCTCAGGAACAGTTCAGAGCACCCACACCTTAGTAGTTATTTGATACAGTATCTGCACGAATGTGTGGGGATAGAGTAACTCGATACACACAGATAACACGACGGCCAAATCAGAGCACGCAGCACCTCCCTCTCATCAAATGTTTACCATTCTGGCACTGGAACCCTCCTGGGGCTGGACTTTCCTCACGCCTCCATAAGGTACACATTTTTAATGTACACAACAAAACCCATGAAAAAGGTCGGCATGGCACATTAGCAAGACTGAGAAGTCAAGTCTAAGAGAAAAGTGCCTTTAGCACTCACAGTTAACACTGCCAAGCCCGGTGTGGCGATGCATGCCTGGAGTCCCAGCACTTGGAAAGCTGAGACAGGAGGATTTTGAGTTGGAGACCACCCTGGGTTACACAGCAAGTTCAAGGCCACCCTAAACTACATAGTGAGGCTCTTGTCTCGAAACAAAACAATGCCTCTATTAAAATAGCTTTAATTTACAGTAGAATCAAAACTAAGTTGCTTTGAAACTTAATCCTTCCAGGGTGTCACGATCACCTATACATTTATTATATTTGAAGAAAGTTGTCACTTTTTTGCTATAGAAATGTTCATTCAAAAGTATCTGGGAGGCCGGGGATTTAGCTCAGTGGTTCGGTGGCCTGCCTTGCAAGCGCAAGGACCCAAGTTCAATCCCCGGTACCAAAAAAAAAAACAAAATAAACAAGAGTATCAACAACAACAAAAAAAAGTATCTGGTAGAGGGGCCAGGGATTTAGCTCAGTGCTTCCAGTGCTTGCCTTGCAAGCGCAAACCAAGATCCCGAGTTCAATCCAATACCAAAAAAAAACAAAATAAACAAGAGTATCAACAACAACAAAAAAAAGTATCTGGTAGAGGGGCCAGGGATTTAGCTCAGTGCTTCCAGTGCTTGCCTTGCAAGCGCAAACCAAGATCCCGAGTTCAATCCATGGTCCAAAGAAAAAAAAAAAAAAAAAAAA